GGCCAGATTTAGGCAAAACCTCCCCATGCACGGCCCTGTCACCAGTGAATTCCTCCCCCTGGTTTTCCATGTTCCCAGCACTTACCAGGCCCAGGGAATCTGCACCAAAGGGGCTTTAAGGCTTCCTAAATGATGAGGAAAGGCTGGGGGAATGGGGATTGTTCAGAAGTTTTGGGGTGACCTCATTGTGGCCTTCCAGTGCCTGCAGGAGCTACAGAAACATGGAGAGGGATTTGGGACAGGACACAGGGAATGGCTTCCCGCTGGAAACGGGGAGGTTTAGGTGCAGTATTGGGAGGGCATTCCTGGCTCTGAGGGAGGGGAGGGCTGGGATGGGATTCCAGAGGAGCTGTGGCTGCTCCTGGATCCCTGGAAGTGCCCAAGGCCACCCTCAGGGTGAAGAAACTTTTCCCAATATCCAAGCAAAGCTCCCCTGGCCCAGCTCTGGCTGTTCCCTCTGATCACAGGCACCAAAATCTGCCCTCACTCCTGTTAATCCATGGGCTGTGCACAGTCAGATCCATTTGGGAATCACAACCAGGGTGGGAATGCAGGATCCAGCACCCAACCTCGGTTTAGCACCTCCAGCCAGGCCTGTTCTAGTAAAGCCTGGTTTGAGCAGCAGCTGAAGGACAAACGGACAGATCTCCTCCCCCAGGAATCCCGGTGGGATTGCGCCGGTTCTGCTCTGTCAGCGCAAAAGCTGATGGAGAATCCTGACCACAGCAGAGCTCAGAGGAAATTCCAGCCCCCTCACCCGTCATTCCAAAGGGAGAACATCACTGGGACAAGCTCTGGGCTCCAGCAGGAACCCAGGAGCTCACAAACGATGATGTTCCCCCTGTGAATGTGAGGAATGACCTGCACAATTCCCAGGCACGTTGGGAAGAGCAAAAACTTCCAAACTTGCCTTTGCAGGAGGCTTTGGACACCCCCTGGTTCAGGTTTGTGACCCCCTGGTTCCTTGTTTTTAGCTCCAGCTGTGCCCCCCTGGCTGCTGAGGAGATAAAGCCAAGATAAGAGTGGCAGAACTCAGAGGGGGAAGAGCTGGAACATTTGACAGCCAGTTGTGACTACAAGGAGCTGCCACAATGGCATCCCAAACATCCCAGCTCTCACCTCCAGCCTTGATCCTGCTCAGGGAAAGCAGCAGGGAAGGAGCCCTGCAGCTCCAGGGACTTTATTTTATAGGGAGAGAGGAAAAATCAGCTGGGAATGGAAGCAGTGGTGCTGTGGGAAGGTTCGTGAAATTCAGGGAGAAGCAGAATCCTGGAATGGTTTGGGTAGGAAAGGAGCTCAAAATCATTCAGGGTGAAACAGAGTCCTGGAATGGTTTGGTAGGAAAGGAGCTCAAAATCATTCAGGGTGAAACAGAAGCCTGGAAGGGTTTGGTAGGAAAGGAGCTCAAAATCATTCAGGGTGAAACAGAGTCCTGGAAGGGTTTGGGTAGGAAAGGAGCTCAGAATCATCCAGTGCCACCCCTGCCACAGGCAGGGACAATTCCCAGGTTGCTCCAGCCTGGTTTTGGACACTTCCAAGGACCCAGGGGCAGCCAGAGCTTCTCTGGGATTCCATTCCAGCCCCTCCCCAACCTCACAGGGAAGGTTTTCCCTCCCTATTTCTAATTTTAACCTGCTCTCTCTGTCAGTTTGAGGCAGGCAGGGGATGAGCAGGGGGTGCAGCAGCCTCTGCCCAGGAAATGCAGCACTTCCACCCCACTCAGCACAGCTCCTTAAAAATAAATCCACTTCTTTCTCCCTTTTCCATCCCCTCCTCCTGCTGAGGGATCCAGGCTTCTGCTCCAGGAATCACTTCAGTCTCGTGATTCATCTGAAATTTCAGCACCCCCAGAGCAGCAGCCGAGCTCATTCCCAATTATCTGAGGAGTTCCACTCACCCAGCCCCACGCTGAGCTCATGGAAAGGCAGAGCCCTCAAAGCTGCCGTGATTAATTCCTGGAGCAGCTCGGGGTGAGGTGACCTCTGTCTAGACTAAAGCAGATTTTCTTCCAGGTGTTTTGAGGACTCTCTGCGGCTTCAGAGGAGCCAAAGCCACCCCTGGTGTTCCGTGCTCCCGCCTCATTCCCTGGGACACAAGGGAGCCATTGATGGAGCGGCTGGGGACGATCCCTCCCGAGGCAGGGGAGGCGAGGTCAGGGTGAGGAAAGGAATTGAATCCCTCCGATCCTGGAGCTGCAGCCCTTCCCTTCCCTTCCCTTCCCTTCCCTTCCCTTCCCTTCCCTTCCCTTCCCTTCCCTTCCCTTCCCTTCCCTTCCCTTCCCTTCCCTTCCCTTCCCTTCCCTTCCCTTCCCTTCCCTTCCCTTCCCTTCCCTTCCCTTCCCTTCCCTTCCCTTCCCTTCCCTTCCCTTCCCTTCCCTCACAGACAACCCCAAGGGTTCATCCACACTGGGATGTGCAGCACAGCCTGGCTTTGCCCTGCATGCTCAAAAGGAGCTCTGGAAACGCTTACAGGGGGGGTCTTTCCATAAATTTTAGCCAAGGGCAGCCAGGGAATTGAGACAGTGAAAAATCCAAGAAAAGGGAGGTGCCTGAAGCACCTAAACCGAGCTTGGGTGCTGGATCCTGCATTCCCACCCTGGTTGTGATTCCCAAATGGATCTGACTGTGCACAAACTCCCCAAGCTGAGGAGCTAAAGGAAAAAAAAAATCTTTTTTTCCCCTCTGAAGAGCTCATCCCAGCTCCCTTCCAGCCCAGCATTCCTGCATTTCTCTCTCCTGCAGAAATCCCATGGGATTTCTGTCATTTCCCCTTTGGTTCTGTCACTTCCCCAAATCTCCCCCTCAGCCTCCCAGTGCGAGCCCAGAACCTTCCCCAGGACGTCCTCAATTCCAGCCCTAATCCCACATTCCCACAAATATTCCCATATTTTGATCATGGCTCCTCCATCATTGCTCATCCAAACAACACAAAAATATCTTTCTATCTTCCCTTTAAATTAATTAATAAATTAATTAATCAATAAATAAATTAATAAATTAATCCCAGGAATTATTCCACCCCAAATCCAACCCTCCCCGCTGCCCCCATTAGCCCAGAGAGCTCCAAACTGGTCCCAGTGTTAAAAGAGGAGGAAAAAATTCAGGATTTTTGTCCATTAGAACTAAAAACATCAGGAAGTTCTGTGAGCACAACACAGGTTTTGTCTCTTTGAAATATTAACAGAACAGGTTTCAATTTTGAGAAATTGTTTGAGGAACCGGAATAATTTATAGTAAAAAAATAAAATAAACCTCTGTTTCAAATTCTTATTATCTCATTATTTATCTGATAATGTGGAAAAATATGTGGGATAAACATGGGATAAATTGATAATTTATGTCAGTCCCAGCCATCCCAGTCCACAGGATGCTCTGAATCAGAGTTTTTACCCCATTTACCTCAATTTGATTAATCAAGGGCACATTTTGTCTCTAAATTCATCCTTTGAAACATGAAAAGAGCAGGTTTCAATTTTGAAAAAAATGATTGAGGAAACAGAATAATTTATAGTAAAAAGTTTCAGATTCTTATTGTTTATCTGACTTCCTGAAAGTGGAACCTGAATTTTGTCTCTCCAACCCAGGCAGGAGCAGCCAAGTTTTAAGCCCAGAGATGGGATCAATATGGGATAAACTGATCATGTGAATAAATGTGGGATAAATGTGGGATAAATTGATAATGGGGGATAAATGTGGGATAAATGGATCATGTGAATAAATGTGGGACAAACAGGAGATAAATTCATAATGGGAATAAATGTGGGATAAATTGATAGGGTGAATAAATAGATGGGATAAACATGAGATAAATTGATAATGGGGGATAAATGTGGGATAAATGGATCATGTGAATAAATGTAGGATAAACAGGAGAAAAATTGATAATGGGGGATAAATATAGGATAAACTGATAATGTGGGATAAACATGAGATAAATTCATAATGGGAATTAATATTGGATAAATTGATAATGGGAATAAATAGGTGGGATAAATATGGGATAAACTGATCATAGGAATAAATATGGGATAAATTGATAATGAGGGAAAAATATGGGATAAACTGATAATGTGAATAAATAGATGGGATAAATATGGGATAAATTGATAATGTGGTATAAATATGGGATAAGTTGATAATGTGAATAAATAGATGGGATAAATATGGGATAAATTGATAATGTGGTGTAAATATGGGATAAGTTGATAATGTGAATAAATAGATGGGAAAAGTTGATAATGTGAATAAATGCAGGATAAATTGGTAAGGTGAATAAATATGGGACAAGTTGATAATGGGAATAAATATGGGATAAATTGACAATGGGAATTATTATGGGATGAATTGATAATGGGAGTAAATTCTTGGGATAAATATGGGATAAACTGATAATGTGGGATAAACATGACATAAATTGACAATGGGAATATATATGAGATAAATTGGTAAGGTGAATAAATAGATGGGATAAATATGGGATAAATTGATAATGTGAATAAATAGATGGGATAAATATGGGATAAACTGATAATGTGGGATAAACATGAGATAAATTGATAATGGGAATATATATGAGATAAATTGGTAAAGTGAATAAATAGATGGGATAAATAGATGGGATAAATATGGGATAAATTGATAATGTGGTATAAATATGGGATAAGTTGATAATGTGAATAAATAGATGGGATAAGTTGATAATGTGAATAAATAGATGGGATAAATATGGGATAAGTTGATAATGTGAATAAATAGATGGGAAAAGTTGATAATGTGAATAAATGCAGGATAAATTGGTAAGGTGAATAAATATGGGACAAGTTGATAATGGGAATAAATATGGGATAAATTGATACTATGAATAAATATGTGATAAATATGGGATAAATCAATAATACCAACAAACATGCAGGACAAACACGTGATAAATTTACAATTTCCATCACTTCCAACCATCCCTCCCCTCAGGACATCCCGGACCATAATTTTGACCCCAATTACCTCAATTTGGTTAATGAGGGAGTTGTCAAACTTGAAGCCTGGGATCCTCTTCTCGCTGCACACCACGCCCACATCCTCGGTGTGTTTGCAGTCGCTCACGCCCCAGCCGTTGGAGCCGCAGGCAGCCAGGCTGCTCTCCTTGCCCGTGCAGTGCACGTTGTCCAGCCAGATCTTCCCTGCAGAAGCAGGAAAACACAGCTCAGATTCCAAAAGGGGGGATGGAGGCTGGATTCCCTTCCAGGGATCCCAGGGAAGCAGCTGGGCCTCATGCTCAGTTGAAAATCTCAGTGTGAATAAAGCAGCGCCTCAAGGATTGATGGATTGGGAAAAGTTCTGGCCCATGGATTTTCCTGTCCTTTATCCACCTGGGAATAAAGTGGCACCTCAAGCAGTGCAGGTTGTCCAGCCAGATTTCCCCTGGAAAAGGAGGAAAACACAGCTGAGATTCCAAGAGGAGGAATCTGGACTGGATTCCCTGAACCTGGACTCCAGGGAAGCAGCTGGGCCTTGCTCTGTGTTAAAAATTAGGGTGAATAAAGCAGCACCTCAAGCAGTGCAGGTTGTCCAGCCAGATTTCCCCTGGAAAAGGAGGAAAACACAACTGAGATTCCAAGAGGAGGAATCTGGGCTGGATTCCCTGAACCTGGATCCCAGGGAAGCAGCTGGGTCTCACGCTCAGTTGAAAATCAAGGTGAATAAAATGGCACCTCAAGGATTGATGGATTGGGAAAAGCTGTGGCCCATGGATTTTCCTGTCCTTTATCCACCTGGGAATAAAGTGGCACCTCAAGCAGTGCAGGTTGTCCAGCCAGATTTCCCCTGGAAAAGGATGGAAACACAACTGAGATTCCAAGAGGAGGAATCTGAGCTGGGTTCCCTGAATCTGGATTCCAGGGAATGTTCCCTGGAATGGGAAAAACCACAACTGAGATTCCAACAGGAGGGATCTGGACTGGATTCCCTGAACCTGGACTCCAGGGAAGCAGCTGGGTCTTGCTCTGTGTTAAAAATTAGGGTGAATAAAGCAGCACCTCAAGCAGTGCAGGTTGTCCTGCAAGATTTCTTCTGGAAAAAGAGGAAAACACAGCTGAGATTCCAGGAGGGGGAATCTGGACTGGATTCCCTGAACCTGGATCCCAGGGAAGCAGCTGGGTCTCACACTCAGTTGAAAATCAAGGTGAATAAAATGACACCTCAAGGATTGATGGATTGGGAAAAGCTCTGGCCCATGGATTTTCCTGTTCTTTATCCACCTGGGAATAAAGTGGCACCTCAAGCACTGCATGTTGTCCAGCCAGATTGTCCCTGGAAAAGGAGGAAAACACAGCTGAGATTCCAAGAGGAGGAATCTGGGCTGGATTCCCTGAACCTGGACTCCAGGGAAGCAGCTGGGCCTTGCTCTGTGTTAAAAATTAGGGTAAATAAAGTGGCACCTCAAGCAGTGCACGTTGTCCAGCCAGATTTTCCCTGGAAAAGGAGGAAAACACAGCTGAGATTCCAAAAGGGGGAATCTGGACTGGATTCCCTGAACCTGGATCCCAGGGAAGCAGCTGGGTCTCACGCTCAGTTGAAAATCAAGGTGAGTAAAGCAGCACCTCAAGCACTGCAGGCTGTCCAGCCAGATTTCCCCTGGAAAAGGATGGAAACACAACTGAGATTCCAAAAGGGGGAATCTGAGCTGGCTTCCCTGAATCTGGATTCCAGGGAGTGTTCCCTGGAAGGCAGGGATGTGCTGGGTCTCATTCTTGGTGTGACAATCAAGGTGAATAAAGCAGCACCTCAAGGATTGCTGGATTGGGAAAAGCTCTGGCCCATGGATTTTCCTGTCCTTTATCTATTTGGGAATAAAAATCCACCTCCAGCCTGTGCTGCCCCAGCACAGTGATCAGATCCATCACAGGGATCAGTGATGAAAATCCCCAGTGTGAAAAACCGAGGTGTGACAATCAAGGTGAATAAAATGGCACCTCAAGCAGTGCAGGCTGTCCAGCCAGATTTCTTCTGGAAAAGGAGGAAAACACAACTGAGATGCCAAAAGGAGGAATCTGAGCTGGATTCCCTGAACCTGGAAGCCAGGGAATCTTCCCTGGAAGGCAGGGATGTGCTGGGTCTCATTCTTGGTGTGCAAATCAAGGTGAGTAAAGCAGCACCTCAAGCAGTGCAGGCTGTCCAGCCAGATTTCCCCTGGAAAAGGAGGAAAACACAGCTGAGATTCCAAGAGGAGGAATCTGGGCTGGATTCCCTGAACCTGGACTCCAGGGAAGCAGCTGGGCCTTGCTCTGTGTTAAAAATTAGGGTGAATAAAGCAGCACCTCAAGCAGTGCAGGTTGTCCAGCCAGATTTTCCCTGGAAAAGGATGGAAACACAACTGAGATTCCAAAAGGAGGAATCTGAGCTGGGTTCCCTGAATCTGGATTCCAGAAAATCTTCCCTGGAAGGCAGGGATGTGCTGGGCTTCATTCTTGGTGTGACAATCAAGGTGAGTAAAGCAGCACCTCAAGCACTGCAGGTTGTCCAGCCAAATTTTCCCTGGAAAAGGATGGAAACACAACTGAGATTCCAAAAGGGGGAATCTGGACTGGATTCCCTGAATCTGGATCCCAGGGAAGCAGTTTGGTCTCACGCTCAGTTGAAAATCAAGGTGAATAAAGCAGCCACCTCAAGGATTGATGGATTGGGAAAAGCTCTGGCCCATGGATTTTCCTGTCCTTTATCCACCTGGGAATAAAAATCCACCTCCAGCCTGTGCTGCCCCAGCACAGTGATCAGATCCATCACAGGGATCAGTGATGAAAATCCCCAGTGTGAAAAACCGAGGTGTGACAATCAAGGTGAGTAAAGCAGCACCTCAAGCACTGCAGGTTGTCCAGCCAGATTTCTTCTGGAAAAGGAGGAAAACACAACTGGGGTTCCAAAAGGAGGAATCTGAGCTGGGTTCCCTGAATCTGGATTCCAGGGAATGTTCCCTGGAATGGGAAAAACCACAACTGAGATTCCAAGAGGAGGAATCTGGACTGGATTCCCTGAACCTGGACTCCAGGGAAGCAGCTGGGTCTTGCTCTGTGTTAAAAATTAGGGTGAATAAAGAAGCACCTCAAGCAGTGCAGGTTGTCCAGCCAGATTTCTTCTGGAAAAGGAGGAAAACACAGCTGAGATTCCAAAAGGAGGAATCTGAGCTGGATTCCCTGAATCTGGAAGCCAGGGAATCTTCCCTGGAAGGCAGGGATGTGTTGGGTCTCATTTTTGGTGTGCAAATCAAGGTGAGTAAAGCAGCACCTCAAGCAGTGCAGGCTGTCCAACCAGATTTTCCCTGGAAAAGGAGGAAACACAGCTGAGATTCCAAAAGGGGGAATCTGGGCTGGATTCCCTGAACCTGGATTCCAGGGAATGTTCTCTGGAATGGGAAAAACCACAACTGAGATTCCAAGAGGAGGGATCTGGGCTGGATTCCCTGAACCTGGATCCCAGGGAAGCAGCTGGGCCTTGCTCTGTGTTAAAAATTAGGGTGAATAAAGCAGCACCTCAAGCAGTGCAGGCTGTCCAGTCAGATTTCTTCTGGAAAAGGAGGAAAACACAGCTGAGATTCCAAAAGGAGGAATCTGGACTGGATTCCCTGAATCTGGAAGCCAGGGAATCTTCCCTGGAATGGGAAAAACCACAACTGAGATTCCAAGAGGAGGAATCTGGACTGGATTCCCTGAACCTGGATCCTAGGGAAGCAGCTGGGTCTCACACTCAGTTGAAAATCAAGGTGAATAAAGCAGCACCTCAAGGATTGATGGATTGGGAAAAGCTCTGGCCCATGGATTCTCCTGTCCTTTATCCATTTGGGAATGAAAATCCACCTCCAGCCTGTGCTGCCCCAGCACAGTGATCAGATCCATCACAGGGATCAGGGATGAAAATCCCCAGTGTGAAAAACTGAGGTGTGACAATCAAGGTGAATAAAGCAGCACCTCAAGCAGTGCAGTCTGTCCAGCCAGATTGTCCCTGGAAAAGGAGGAAAACACAACTGAGATTCCAAAAGGAGGAATCTGAGCTGGGTTCCCTGAATCTGGAAGCCAGGGAATCTTCCCTGGAATGGGAAAAACCACAACTGAGATTCCAAGAGGAGGGATCTGGGCTGGATTCCCTGAACCTGGACTCCAGGGAAGCAGCTGGGCCTCACGCTCAGGTGAAAATTAAGTGGCACCTCAAGGATTGATGGATTGGGAAAAGCTCTGGCCCATGGATTTTCCTGTCCTTTATCCACCTGGGAATAAAGCAGCACCTCAAGGATTGATGGATTGGGAAAAGCTCTGGCCCATGGATTTTCCTGTCCTTTATCCATTTGGGAATTAAAATCCACCTCCAGCCTGTGCTGCCCCAGGGATCAGTGATGAAAATTCTCAGTGGGAAAAACCAAGGTGTGACAATCAAGGTGAATAAAGCAGCACCTCAAGGATTGATGACTTTGATGCCATGATGATTTTTTTGCCTTTTCTTTTATGCCCCTTTCATGCATTCTCAGTGCTCTTAGCATGCACATTTGTAATTCCTTCAGTCTGATAACCTCACATAATCCTGATATTCTGTTAAACCAAAACCCCAAACATCCTAAAAGCCTCGCAGTTAGAGGCAGACAAACCCTACACTACCTTAAAAAACCAAAGTCCCCTCTAAAATACATCCTATAAACTAAGATTAAGCCCATCCAAGACAATAAAAAATACAATAAAAATAAAATAAATTTTAAAAATGGAAATAAAATAATATCAGGGTACTCATTCTAGTCTCTTAATAAGTCATTTTTGTTAAATATCTTAATTTGCAAAGTCTGTAAAACTCTGTCCATGATCTATTGTGAGTGTACATTTCAGTTTGCTCCTCCTTGGCAAAATGCTGCACCATAAGAATCCTCATTAAATACCAAAATAAAAAAGCATTATCCCTTAGCTGAATTAATTAACTTTAAATTTTAACTTTTAAATGATTAATTTAATTAAATGTTAAGACTAAGGAATGTTGTCAAGTTGGGAAAACCTCTGACCCAACGGCATTTCCCATCCTTTATCCATATGGGAATATTAAATTAATAAATTTAATCAATATTAAATTAATATGTTAAATTAATAATATAATAAAATAAAATAAATTTAATTAATTAATATTATATTCAAATAACAATAAAATTATAATTTAATTATGTTAGAAATAATACATTAAATTAATGCATTTAAATTCATGTAAAATATTAAAATAATAAATTAATACAGAAATCAGGCCCCTCAGAACCAGAATGGGAAGAGCCCCCCAGCCCCTGGATTTGGGATTTCTGTGGGAATTCTCCCTCCCATGTGAGCCCGTGGCCAGCCTGGTTTGTTTTCCAATGTCACGGCCTCTTCCTCGCTTGGAAATCTCCTGCTCTGCTTCCAGAGCCAAAATCCACAACTTTGGGAGCACATTCCAGGTTTGCAATTTCCCTCAGGCCCCACTCGTTCTTTTATGGGACATTTATAGGTGTGAGCACTCAGAAACTGCTCAAATCCACGCAAACAGCACCTGTGGCCCTCCTGAGTGGAATTTTATCCCTGTGGGATCCACCAGGCTCCAGGGAGGGCAGGAAAAATCCTCAGCAGGACAAGATTGAATCCCAAATCCCAATAAATCCTGAGAAATCCCGTGGGGTGTCCGTTATTCCACAGATCTGTTGTTATTCCTGGATTATTCCTGAGTTTTCCCCTCTCAAATTTGGTGATTCCAGGAATTCCCAGCTGTCACACACAAACATTCTCCTTTCCAAGTGGTTGCCCAGCAGATATTTGGGTTTCAGGTGGGCTTTTCCACATTTCCAGCAGGTGCAAGGTTCAGAGGGTGAAAAAGGACATGGCAAACTGAAATCAGGGATTCTTGGGAGCTGGAGAGGCTCCCCCAGTTCCCTGGGATCCCAATCCAAGGTCCTTCAGCTGCTCCAGGCCCTTCCCCATCCCTGTGTCCATCCTTTGGATGCTTTCCAATAATTTCTCACATTTTTTACCCCACAGAGCACAGCATGAGAAAGGAACTTTCAAAACCACCAATTAAACTGAAATTAGGGATTATGGGGAACTGGAAAGGCCCTGAAATCCCAATCCAAGGTCCTTTAGCTTCTCCAGGCCTTTCTCCATCCCTGTGTCCATCCTTTGGATGCTTTCCAACACTTGAACACCTTTTTCACTTCATAAAGCAGAGCACAAGAAACCAACACTCAAAACCATCAATGAGCCTGATCATTGATGATCAATACCAAAAATCAGGGATTATTGGGAGCTGGAAAGACCCTTTCCCTATTCCAAGATCTCCTCACCTTCTCCTTTCCCGTACTTGGAGCTGGGCAGCCAGGACACGGCCTCCGTGTAGCCCAGCTCCCGGCATGAGAGAGAAACACCCAAACCCCATAAATTAAATTGAAATTAGGGATTATTGGGAACTGGAAACATTCCCCACAGTGCTCCAAGACCTCCTCACCTTCTCCTTTCCCGTACTTGGAGCTGGGCAGCCAGGACATGGCCTGCACATAGCCCAGCTCCCAGCATGAGAGAAAAACATCCAAAACCCATCAATGAGACTGAAATCAGGGATTATTGGGAGATGGAATGGCCCTCCCAATGCTCTGGGATCCCAATCCAAGGTCCTTCAGCTGCCCTTCCCCAAACCTGTGTCCATCCTTTGGATGCTTTCCAACACTTTAACACCTTTTTTACTTCACAGAGCAGAGCATGAGAAACCAACACTCAAAACCATCAATGAGACTGAAATCAGGGATTACTGGGAGCTGGGAACATTCCCCACAGTGCTCCAAGATCTCCTCACCTTCTCCTTTCCCGTACTTGGAGCTGGGCAGCCAGGACACGGCCTGCACGTAGCCCAGCTCCCAGCATGAGAGAGAAACATCCCAAGACGACCAATTAAACTGAAATCAGGGATTATTGGGAGCTGGATGCTCCCCCAGTTCCCTAGGATCTCAATCCAAGTGCCCTCAGCTGCTCCTTGTGTGACCCCTCCAGGCCCTTCCCCACCCCTGTGTCCATCCTTTGGATGCTTTCCAATAATTTCACACATATTTTACCGCATAGAGAAAGGAACATTCAAAACCACCAATTAAACTGAAATTAGGGATTGTGGGGAACTGGAAAGGCTCTGAAACCCCAATCCAAGGTCCTTCAGCTGCTCCAGGCCCTTCTCCATCCCTGTGTCCATCCTTTGGATGCTTTCCAACAATTTAACGCATTTTTTTTACCTCACAGAGCAGAGGACAAGAAACCAACACTCAAAACCATCAATTAAACTGAAATCAGGAATTATTGGGAGCTGGAAAGACCCTCTCCCTTTTCCAAGATGTTCTCACCTTCTCCTTTCCCATACTTGGAGCTGGGCAGCCAGGACACGGCCTGCACGTAGCCCAGCTCCCGGCATGAGAGAGAAACACCAAAAATTAAACTGAAATTAGGGATTATTGGGAGCTGGAAACATTCCCCACAGTGCTCCAAGATCTCCTCACCTTCTCCTTTTCCATACTTAGAGCTGGGCAGCCAGGACACGGCCTGCACATAGCCCAGCTCCCGGCATGAGAGACAAACACCCAAAACCATCAGTGAGACTGAAATCAGGGATTACTGGGAGCTGGAAACATTCCCCACAGTGCTCCAAGACCTCCTCACCTTCTCCTTTCCCATACTTGGAGCTGGGCAGCCAGGACACGGCCTGCACGTAGCCCAGCTCCCAGCATGAGAGAGAAACACCCAAAACCATCAGTGAGACTGAAATCAGGAATTATTGGGAGATGGAATGGCCCTCCCAATGCCCTGGGATCCCAATCCAAGGTCCTTCAGCTGCCCTTCCCCAAACCTGTGTCCATCCTTTGGATGCTTCCAACACTTTAACACCTTTTTTACCTCACAGAGCACAGCATGAGAAACCAACACTCAAAACCATCAGTGAGACTGAAATCAGGGATTATTGGGAGCTGGAAACATTCCCCACTCTGCTCCAAGACCTCCTCACCTTCTCCTTTCCCATACTTGGAGCTGGGCAGCCAGGACATGGCCTCCGTGTAGCCCAGCTCCCAGCATGAGAGAGAAACACCCAAACCCCATCAATTAAACGGAAATCAGGGATTATTGGGAGCTGGAAACATTCCCCACATTGCTCCAAGACCTCCTCACCTTCTCCTTTCCCGTACTTGGAGCTGGGCAGCCAGGACACGGCCTCCGTGTAGCCCAGCTCCCGGCACGAGAGAGAAACACCCAAACCCCATAAATTAAATTGAAATTAGGGATTATTGGGAGCTGGAAACATTCCCCACAGTGCACCAAGACCTCCTCACCTTCTCCTTTCCCGTACTTGGAGCTGGGCAGCCAGGACACGGCCTCCGTGTAGCCCAGCTCCCGGCACACCACGTGGGCGGCGTGGATGGAGAAGTCGTCGTCGCACACGGTGCCCCACTCCCCGCTGTAGAACACCTCCAGCCTGCCCTCGTTGTGCTTCCTCTTCTGCCCTGCCAGCCTCAGCTGGATCTTGGGCACGTTTGGGGCTCTCTGGGGCGGCTGGAACGCCGGCGGCGCTGGCTCGGGGTAGCCAGGCAGGTACGGCCAGGGCTCGTACTGGGCACAGCTCAGCCCCGCCAGCAGCAGCAGCAGCAGCAGGCAGTGGTTGGAGGGAAAAACTTGGGATCTTCCCATTTTCAGTGCTCACAGTGCTCAGGGGCAGAGCCAGGCAGTGCAGGCAGGGCTGTCCTGGAGGAAAAGCAGATTTTAGTTAATGTTTGTAATGATACAAAATGGATATGATTTATATTATTGTGGTATTTATATTAATTCATTATTATTTCTTTATTTCTCTGTGTTATTGATTTTATTGCTTATTATTCCTTTTTAATTTTATTTTATTCATTATTATATTCATTGCTTAAATTATTAATAATTATTTGTATCTTTAATTATAATATAAATAATTATTATTTCAATAAATATTTATATTATAATTAATATAATAATAAATTCTATCAATAATTTAATTAAATTAATAATAGATTCTATTAGTAATTTAATTTAAAATAATAAATTCTAATATTAATTATTATTTCTATTATTATCTTGGCAATTGGGATTACCTCCAATGCCATCTGTAAAAACCAAAGTCAGCTCAATTATTTCTTGTGGGGTGGACAAACAAACTGGAACCTCCCCCATTTATAAGTTTAGATCAACTTGCCACATCATTTCACCCCAAAAATACATTTTCCCCAGGTGAAATTCTCTATGTTGGGAGGTGTAGCAAATGATTTTCCTGTTTTCCTCCAGAAATCCAGCAGGAAAGCTCAGAACTGAACCCTTTTTTTCTCCCCATCGAGAACCCAAACCCATCAGGAGCAGTGGAAAACCAGGAGGGTGAGGAAATCTCGTGGCCAGCAGTGAGGGATTTATCCCAAACTCGGGGTTCCCAGTGGGATAAAAGATTTATTTCTGTTCCTGCACGTCTGGTTCCGTCTGTAGAAACTCAAAACATCACCAGACACTTGGCAGAAGCCTTGGGTGACCTTGGAATAGTGGAAAATGTCTCCAGGTTTTGGTTGTAAGTCTGGATGGGGATTTATTGGCATCCAAGTGCTCCCCGAGCACAATTTAAGGTAGGAACAGACTTCTCGTGACTCATGAGAGGAATTTCATCCAGGAGTGGAATCCTGTGAAATCCTGTCCTTTTCCTGCTCCCCACTGACGCCCAGGCACGTGGAGTGGTCAAGCAGGACACGTGGGGATGAGGATTCCATCATTCCCAAGTGAAGCAATGCCAGAGCTCAGTGGGAAAACATCCCCAGCCACCGGAGGGGAGGGAGAAAGAGGGAGGATTTGGCTCCAAAGGAGATGTCTAGGAACTAAAATTCCCTGAAATTCCAGCTACATCTGGTCTATCCCTAAAAAAAATCCCAGAAAAATCACATCCTCACATAAAGATACAAAATTCATGAACAGCCTTTAAAGCTGAGGAGGACAGGGATCAGAATTCCAGGTCATTTCCAGGGCTGTGCCTCAGTTTCCCTGTGGGTTGAACAGGGATGGGGCGCAGGAGATTCCTGCTGGAATGAAAAGGATTTTGCCAAGGAAGGGAGAAATGAAACAGAAGCTCGGGGATTAGAGCCCAGGATTGGAGGGGAAACAGGAAAAGCCAGAGGAGGTTTTCCAACAGATCTCATAAATCAGGATGGGGCGGGAAAATGAGGGGGAAAAAATCTTGGAAAACAAACATTGGGTTTCCAGGAGCCAATTTTTTTGTAGGTCAGGAGGTGAGGCTGAGAGAGAGAGGAATAAAATCAGGTCCTGCCCCAGGCTGGGGAGGGCTGGAGGGGATGGGAGGAGGGAAATGCAGCTGCTGCTCCCTCTGGCAGCGAGGAGAGGGGATTTTCCAATGGGAGTGGGGCTGGCAGGGCAGGATCAGAGTGATCCTGGATCCTGGAGCTCCAGAGGCATCCAGAATTCTGGATCCAGGAGCTCCAGAGGGATCCAGGATCCCAGATCCAGGAGCTCCAAAGGTATCCAGGAGCTCCAGAGGCATCCAGAATTCTGGATCCAGGAGCTCCAGAAGGATCCAGGATCCCAAATCCAGGCACTCCAGAGGGATCCAGAATTATCAGGATCCCAGATCCAGAAGTTCCAGAGTGATCCTGGATCCCAGAGGCAGGAGCTCCAGAGGCATCCAGAGTTCTGGATCCAGGAACTCCAGAATGATCCTGGATCCAGGAGCTCCAGAAGGATCCAGGATCCCAGATCCAGGAGTTCCAGAGTGATCCTGGATGCAGGAGGTCCAGAAGGATCCAGGATCCCAGATCCAGGAGGTCCAGAGGGATCCAGGAGCTCCAGAGGGATCCAGGATCCCAGATCCAGGAGCTCCAGAAGGATCCAGGATCCCAGATCCAGGAGCTCCAGAGGGATTCAGGAGCTCCAGAGGCATCCCGAATTCTGGATCCAGGAGCTCCAGAGGGATCCAGGAGCTCCAGAGGGATCCAGGATCCCAGATCCAGGAGCTCCAAAGGGATTCAGGAGCTCCAGAGGGATCCAGGATCCCAGATCCAGGAGCTCCAGAGGGATCCAGGATCCCAGATCCAGGAGCTCCAGTACCTGACTGGTCCCAGCCATCACCGCTGACCCCAAGCCCAGCAGCACCGGCTCTGAACAAACCTCTGGAGATGTTTGAGTGGGGACGGGGTGGGCTCAGCCCAGGGGACAAACAGGGGCTGGGAGGTGCTCCTGGAAGGAGAAGGAATTCCAGGGATCCCCTGTGTCTTGGCAGGGAAGGATGGGTGGGAATTGTCATTCAAAGTCCTGGAGGAATTTCAGCTCAGCAGAGCCTCGAGCTCTGCAGGAAAATCTGGGCAGCTTCGGGTTTCATTTTTAAACATCTGTCCTGATCTGCTCCATCCCTAAACAACATCTGTATTTATTGATCTGTTCCATCCACAAACATCTGGTTTGATCTGCTCTGTCCCCAAACATCTGGTTTGATCTGCTCCATCCCTAAACATCTGTCTTGATCTGTTCCATCCCTCAACAACATCCTATTGATCTGTGCCATCCCCAAACATGTGCACTGATCTGTTCCATCCCTCAACAACATCTGTACTGATCAGCTCCATCCCTAAACATCTGCCTGGATCTGCTCAGTCCTTAAATATCTGTATTTATCTCTTCCATCCCCAAACATCTGTCTTCATTTGTTCCATCCCTCAACAACAACTGTCTTGATCTGCTCCATCCCCAGACATCTGGTTTGATCTGCTCCACCCCTAAACAACATCTGTATTGACCTGCTCCATCCCTAAACATCTGTATTGATCTGCTCTGTCCCCAAACATCTGTATCAATCTACTCTGTCCTCAGTGGCTGCAGTTCCTTGCTTTTTAAAGCATTTTAAAGCATTTTAAAGCATTTTTAAAGCATTTTAAAGCATTATTAAAGCATTTTTAAACCCTCAGCAAACCCTCCTCAAAAACGAAGTTGGGCTGCAGAGCTCTCCTGAAAAATTCAGCTGAGGAGGCTGCTTTAGCCCCAAACTTCCAGCTGGGTTTAGAAAGGGTCATGATTTGGGTTTAGAAAGGGTCATTATTTGGGTTTCTATAGGGTCGTTATTTGGGTTTAGCAAGGGTCGTTATTGGGGTTTAGAAAGGGTCGTTATTTGGGTTTCTATAGGGTCGTTATTTGGGTTTCTAGAGGGTCGTTAAAGCTTTCCCAGGGCTGTCCCACACACTGAGAACGCAGGGCTCTGTTTATAAATATTGGTATTTCTATTTCTGGGAGCATCTGGATGGTCCTGCAGCCACGTGAGGGAAATTTGGGAAGGAAAAGGCAGACAAAGAGTGGAGCAACCTCCCAGTCAAACCCTGCAGCTGTCAGAGATAAGGCAGCACTTCTGCATCTTGAGCTGAACATGAACAAATCCCCCTCTGGGCCAGGTTTGGTTTATTTCTGAGCCTCCAGAACGCTCAATGTCAACTAAACCCGAGTATTTGAGAGGAGAATGTCACCTAAACCCGAATATTTGAGAGGGGAATGTCAACTAAACCCGAATATTTGAGAGGAGAACAGGCTCAACAAAGAGCCCGGAGCCTGCCCTGTGCCAAGGCAAACAGGAGCCCGTGTCAGCCCCGCTTTCGGGGGTCCCTTGGGATCAGCCCCAAGCTCTGAACTCCCCTTCCAGCCCTTCCCCTGCTCAAACCCAACCTCTGCAGCCGTTTGACGGGGGACCGGAGCCAAAAGACACAACAAATTGGGGAGAGGTGCGGAGGAGGGCTGGGGATGGCTCCCGGCCTGCGGAGGTGTTAATGAGCCGAGCCCTGCCAGGTGCCAGAGCCTTTCCAAGAATCCCGGCCCTGAGAGACCTCGGGAGCAGCTGCGAGGGAGGGGAAGGTCACGGCACAGCTCCAGGGTGCTTTAATTGGGACCAAGATTAGCCTGGGAGACACTAATTGGGATTAGAGCAGATCCAGGAGGTGGAATTCTCACTCTTGGCAAAGCCTCGCTGAGCTGGGCTGCCCTGGAGCGCAAAATGGGTTTGCTGCTGTTCCCCAGGGATTCAGGGATTTGGGATCATCCAAATCCTGCACAGGGAAAGGAGAAAGCTCTCACAGAGCTGGAGAAATCCTGGTGAGAGAGGATAAAGCACCACAGAGGGAATTCTGGCTGGGAAGAAAGGAATTCCAACGAGATTGTAGGAACACATTCCCCACTCATCCCTAGGAAAAAAGGCTCAGGGCACTCAGGTGGAGCAGCCCCGTGTCCCCTCCTGGCTCCTGTGGGATCAGGAGGGGCTCCTCAAGGGGAAGGCACTGGGAAACCACTCAGAAATCCCATTCCACATGCAAAAATCCTGGGGGAATTCTGTGCAAGACTGGGACAGCAGCAGCGCCCTGAGCTCCCTCCAATCCCAAACACCAGGAGACAAAATTTCCACAGGCTCTGCCTCGCCCAAAATAATAAACCCTCAGCCCCTGTTCAGTGAGGGGCTCAAGAAAATTTCCTCAGATTAAGGCAGGAAGAGCAGAATCCAGAGGGATTCCACAGCCACAAATGGAGATTCCCACAAAAAGCAGCAGCCTGGGTCCAAGGGGGAAACTTGAAAAACTCAGCAGAGCCAGGGAAAGCTCCCAGGGCCTCAGCACTGAAATGGGCTCTCAGCCTTTGTCTGTCCC